ATACCAAGCTGTCCTACCTACCAGGTAGCCCAGCCAGGTGACCGATGATGAACCAGCCAGTATTTGGTGGATCTTTCCTGTTTTCCCTGTTCCTAGATGGTTTTTCACTGCCTGCCAGGTGGGGACAGAGCACTGGCATTTCCCAACTCTGTTCTGTCTCACCATGACAGAAAGGTTCATCTTCTGTGGGCAGGGCAACTATACAACTTAGGAAAGGTTCAGCGACAGCAATGGGGCCCAGAGGCTGAGGCCTTTCAGCCAGGCTCATGAGAGACTCTCTTGCCTCTGTCTCAGCAGGTTCCAGTCTCTTCGCTGTAGCTAGAATGGAGCCTGTAAACATGGGTGGCATTTGTCCCATTTCCTGTCAATGGACATTTACATTGCTGGCCATGCAAACAGGATACCAAAAGGAAGCGTACAGTCCTGGCTGAGGTCCCTGAGTTTATGAGAAGGATATTTTGCAGGGTAACTGTGTGTTAAGGATCCACTTTGGCTATCTCCTCTGGCAGGGTCAGTTGGAGGGAGACCTAATCACTCAGTAAACAGAGAGAAGAGAGATGCTTGTACTTAATAAGCCATTGCAAATGGCAGAAGTGAGCTCCCACCCAACATGATTCTCTCTAGAAACAAATGGCTTGGATCCAAGAACTGCACGGGCTTTTAGTACGCCGCCGCCGAGAGGTCTCTGGGTCCCAGGGCCACCAGAAGCTTCTCTTTCTCCTGGAAGTAGCTTTAATGAGGGAGAGGAAATGACTCCTGTGAGCTGCTGCCACAGCCAAGGCTTCCTCTTTTGTTTTAAGTTACAGAGCTCCTGAGGCGAAGCATCGTCCTTCTCCTTCTCTCTGGAGAGCAGACACAGCAATTAAGGGGGAGGGGGGCAGACAAATGCTCAGAACCGAGGTACTAGGAACAGCTTCCACTATCCCCTGCCCCAAGGGGGCTCCCAACCCCCTTCAAGCTTCTTTCACCCTGCCACAGAGCCCTCACCACCCAGCAAGTGGTGCAGTCAGCCTGGTGGCAGAGAGGAGCAAGCGGTCACTGCCAATGCTTCTGCTCCGGTTTCGTTCATCTCTGCCCTGCGCCAACCACCCTGTGAGGTAAAAGAACAGTGTAGTTCAGTAGGCCAAGCTGCAGCCCAGGCTGGAAGCCCCAGCCATGACCCTGTCATCACAGTTGTTTCCATTTCTTATTTCGGGCCCACTCTCGATGCTTTCCCTTACATGTGGGAAATAAAAACACTAACCTGCCTCCCCAGGCTGTAAAAAGAAATGACTAATATAAAAAAGGGAAAATAAAAGAATAATAGGGCGCTTTGTTGGTATACCTCACACAAACACTAAACAAGGCTGCCACGAGGTTACCGCAAGCACAGTCCCGAGGACTGTGGTGAAGCACAGTCCCGAGGACTGTGGTGAGGGACTCTGTACTGGGCACCCTGCCACAGAATGTCGAGTCTCCTGAATATATAGTTGCCGTCTTGCCATTTCTCGGCTCTTTTCTAGGAAAAGGGACTTCAAAGATTTCCACCGGGCACCCACACAGCCAAAGTCTGGTCCACTAGCAGTCTCTCTCATTTTCAATTTGAATACATCAAAGAATATAGGAAGATGAGTAACCCCCCCCCCCCATCCTCTCTACCTCGGAAAGGTCTCCTTCCAGGAACAAAGAAATGAATAGGGCTTACTAATAATACGCCCCCACAATTCTCTGGCTTCTGATTGGAAGGATGGATCAAAATGTGATCATCAAAAAAATATTCATTCTGTTTGCTCCTCTATCTTAATCGTTTCTCTTCTTCCTGTTTCTAGACCTGAATTCCAAAGGTCAGAGACTGGAAATCCTTATCATTATTGAGATATTTTCACTGGTATAACCTATGGATACTTTGCATTGTTCCACGGGCTTTCGGTACAGACCTGTATTCCCAGACACTTGGGAGGCTGTAAATTTCAGGCTAGCCTGGGCTTCAAAGTGAGAGCCCAAGGCCAGTCCAGGCAATATAGTAAGAGCCTGTTTGGGGGATAAAGCTCAATAGTAGTGTTTGCCTAGCATGCATGATTTCTTGTGTTCACTCTCTAGTACTAATAAATATATTAGATATATGTGTGTGTTATCTATATCTATTGATCGATTGAACGATCGATAGCTAGATATTATATCAACTGCCTTGGTGGCATCACCTCATTTTGTTTCAGGGTTCTTTGTGGATTTGGTTTGGGTTTGATTTTGTTTCTTTGATGCTGGGTCTCTATGTAGCACTGGCTGGCTTGGAGTTACAGTGAATTTTTCCTGTCTCTGCTTCCAGAGTGCAAAGATTACAGGCATCTGTCTCCGTGCTCAGTGTCCATTATGCGTTTAGATTTACATCTAAAAAATGTTTCAAGATGGGCACCCCAGTACTTTGGCGATAAAGATAGGAGAGATGAAAGCTTGAAGTCTGTTTATCTCAAAAGAAAAGAAGAAAAAGCAATGTTCTAGAACTGCTTGGGCTGTTACTTTATAGCAGTTACAATGGCTACTGTTTGCAAAAGGACAGGAACTGGCAAGTGTCAGGGAGGCTGTGAAGAAACTGGAAATCTCTGTGGATTGTGGATGATGATGATGATACAACAGCTGTGGAAACCCTATGGAGACTCCTCAGAGAGTCCTGAGGAGGATTATCATAGTACCTAGCAATTCTGTCTCTGGGTATAGACCCAAGAGTTGAAAGCAGGAACTTGAGGTTTCTGCACACCCATGCACATAGCATCACTATTCGCAAAAAAAGGGAGAGGAAAACCAAGAATCCATCAATAGATGGATAAATAAGCAAAGTGGGCTTTAAAAGGGAAGACAATGCTGGAACATGATATAACACGGATAAAAGCATAACATCACACCAAGTCAAATAAATCAGAGAACAAGATGAATGTCGCATGGTTCTATTAATACGAAGCCAAACCTGTAGACCTCGCCAGGGGCTGGGTGAAGGGGATATAGGAATTATAATGTAACAGATAGAGACTTTCATATTGGCAAGGTGAGAACTGCGGGAAATGGGGATTGGTCACGTTGCTCAGCAATCTGAACTTACGTCCTCCAACTGGACTGCCATGTGTACACTTAAAAGAATCAAGATGCCAAATGTTCATGCTGCATTTATTTTGCCACCGTAACTTTTAGCACCTTTGTAACACCCACCAAGGAGGAGAAACAGGTTTTCTAATGACCTTTGTAGACTCCAGCAGGTGGCCAGAGAACTTTTATACTGCCCATCTCTAAAGCTTTTTTTTTTTCTCCTTTTCGTTCTTGTTTTTGTTTTTGCTTTGTTTTGTTTTGGGCTTGAAGTGTGGAGAAGGTTCCTGTGTTGTTAAGCCTCAGGGGTCACAGGAGCTATTGTGACTGGCAAATGATTTGGGCCTGGTGGTCACCTCTTCTCTTCCTGGTTTCTCAGCTGGTCAAGCCTCTCTGCCACCCACCTACATATTCTCCAGGATACCTTCCAGTATATTCTGCCCTGACTAGGAGGACTCCATTTTGAACCTCCCATGACTCTCGACTCTCATATTGGCTAGGAATCCTCTGGGGGCGGGGGGAGGGGAGAGGGATAGATGTGTGAATACCCTTGTATATTCCCTCCAAATCGAAACCTTTGCCTTCAGAAGAGAAGGCAAGGCTCACAAGCATCAGTAGGTAAACAAAAGGTCACATGGCAGGGGAGATTAAAAAGAAAACTTGGAGGATTCTTGAGGTTCCCTTACCAACAATTAAAAAAAAAGGAGGTAAACAGTTGCTGGGCTTCGGGGCTCTGACCAGCCAAACTTCGGAGAAGAAGATGTTCCTACTGTGGAGATGCCTGCAAGCTGCAGAGAGATGCAAGTGTTCAGGTGTCTCGTGTTGGGGTTTAGCTTCCTGTGATGCTACTGCCTTTTAGTTACCACCCCCTCCTTGTAAGTAACCTCTCACCTATTAGTAGCCCCAACCTAAAAAAGAAACTCACTGATTCACCAACTTGCACCATTTGGCAGTCCTTCCTTTGGTCTGTAGTGAGTTCCCTTTCTGGGGTGAGTAGATACCTACCTGTTGCATCTCCCCAGGAAAAGCCTATTATCACACAACACTACCTCAGCTACACCTCCTGTCCTTGCCCGGGATACCCAGTGGTCTTTCCTGCCTTGCATCTCTTGTGGGATGCCACCAGACTGGCCCCTCTCAGATCCCAGGGTAGCTCTTCAGTATCCACCTTTCTCCCTGGAGACGGGACTTCAGCTCTTACAAGGTCACTGCTAGGCCAAATCTCTCATTTACACACGTGCTTTCCATGGGCCGCTATTAGTTCATCCTTCTGTCTACAGAAGCTTCGGCTCAGGGTTTTCTTTTCAGAAAACCGGTGCACCTCACCCGAACTCATGGGACTTTCTATCCCTGGCCAAAATGAAAGCTCCGAAGACTTTGGATGATATCGGAGGAGCCCTATTTAGGCAGGTGTGTCCAAAGGAGCCAGGCAGGCAGTCCAACCTGGAGTGAAGGCCCCAAGCAAGCAGCCCACACCTGCCCCAGGGCCCTGGGAAGGTGAGCTTCGGGTAAATGGGAGGGCAAGTCTGGAGTTCCAGAGTCCGATAGTTACACATTATAGGAGTAAGAGGAGGGGTGTCAAGGCTCCAGAGTGCGGGTAGAGTTGGAGAAGGGACCCTCCCATGCCAGCCTGGGGTCTTAACCTCCACCCACTTTCAACTTTTTGCTGCTCCCGTTAGATGGCGCTCAAGACTTTCTAACCATTTGTGAAAGTGCTCCTGGCCCGGAACAAAAAGAGCCGTTGGGAGTGAGAGTGTGTGGAGTGGGCGTGCGCGGAGAGGGGGTGGGGTGGGGAGGGGGGCACAAGGCGCGGGCGTCGCCTGGCACCACGAGGAGCAGTCACGGGTCAGCTGGCCCCGGGCGGGGGTGCATCCCAGGCAGGGCCTCCTCCGCAGCGGGCCCAGAACTTTCGCTGCTTCCTCTCCATTTCCCACCTCGGTTTTCTCCTGGGCCCGGCTCAGGAGTCAATCAGATGGGTTTCGGCCTCAGGAAGCCCAGGGACCGCACACCATGCAGGCCCTCTGAGCTCTGGAAGAAAGAGGCCCGGAACTGAGTAGTGGAGCTGGGGTTCAGATCAATCCTCCCCACGCTCACCCCACGCTCATCCCACACGGGTTCTGAGCCCTTAAGCCCCAGCTCTGCACATCAGCCCAGGCTTTCTTCCAGAACTTGGGGCAGGTGCTCTCCAGTGAAACGGTTTCTCAATGTGAGGTTTTGTAAGTTCGCTGAGTGCCTGTTTCCAACAAGACAGGACAAACTTTCTTGTCCCCGGGGCCGATGATCCCCGAGTGAAGTCAAGCCACCTTCCTTTTAAAATCATGAAATGAAAGAAAATAACGAAAGGCCCTGGAAACCCTGAAGCGTTAGAAGTGTGACCACGCATTTTCAAATAATTATGTAAGGAGTGATCAGCTTCCCACTGTTCACCTCTTCCCTTACACTGTACAAGAAATGTCTTGACAGTAGGCGAGCGGGTACTCTGGTCCTTCACTTCTCCGTCGGTCGGAGCGCTAGGAGCTGTGCGCCCGGCCACCCCCAGGACTAGAGGGAGCGGACACCTTCCTTTGTGAGTTCCCCTGACTGGGAACTTTCCCGCGCGGTGGATTCCCCTTTAAGAAAGTAGCGATTGCTATGAATATTTAATGCGGAGCCGAAGCCCGTCGGGCCGAGGGGGAGACCCGGTCCGCTCTCTGCGGCCGGGGCGCACAGCTAGCTTATCCCCACCCGTCCCGCCAGGGTAAGATGCGAAAGACGAGGGTTTGCGGGGAGGAAAAGCTTAGTGGAGCAGGACTGGGGACCAGGGGACCCGCTCGGGTCCAGCAGGCTGGCGCGGGTCATTTCCATAAGAAAGCGGCACCCCAGCTGGAGGCTGCGAGGCTGCGGCTCTCCCTGTGCCTCCTTGCCCTCAATGCGGGTGACTGCCCGACTCAGGCTCCTCTGGATCCCGAACTTAGGCAAGCGCTGCGGTGTGGGTTGGTGTTGCAGAGACGTGGCCTCCAGAGTTGCCCGACTCGGACCCGTTTCCAGTCTGGAGGGAGTGGACCGACCGTGTGCAGGGTGAGTTCAGGGCGCTGAGGAGCCAGCGCGGGACGAGGAGAGCGCCAGGAAGCTAGCCCGCACTGGGCACCCTGGATCACCGAATCCTGCGAAGGACTCTGAAGCGGGGGTGTGGGTGGGAGTGCTGGGAGAAAGCCCCAGAACCCAAAATGCCTGCCGGGTGCTCTTTCAAATTCCCAGAGCTTTCACTTTCAGCGGGTGACCCTTTTCCTGCGAAGGGGTGCAAAGTGAACTTGGTCAGACACTTGGTCTTAGGAGTGAGGCGGTTCTTTCTGTTTACACTGTTTCTTCGTTGCTTTTAGCTTGCACGATAGCCACGAATAATCTTCAGCCCAATCTCTCTCTCTCTCTCTCTCTCTCTCTCTCTCTCTCTCTCTCTCTCTCTCTCTCTCTCTCTCTCTCTTACACACACACACACACACACACACACACACACACACACACACACACACACACACACACACGGTACTTTATGACCTCATCTAGAGACATCAAAACCTAGATCTGTAGTGTTTATTCTTAGTGTACCAAAAAGCAGAGGAGAGAATGTGTGAGACAGATGTCTGTCTGCACTTTGCCTTCTGCTGGGGAAAGATGCCTGAAAATGACTAGCTTCCTTTTACAGATTCTGAACCACCTGTATTTTGCCACAAAACTAAGTTGGGTCACTAATAAAGCATCAGTGACATGGATCAACAAAATACCAGTTATGCCTTTTAACGACCTTATTACTTATGGTTATAGCTGAGAACTTCAAACTCGGTCAATATAATCAAGTGATTTCTAAAATCGGCTGCCTAAGATTTTTACATCATCTGTCCCCCTTACACCCCCAGGAAGTTAGAAGGCTAGAGATGAGGTTTTAAGGAGTTGGTGTGTATTCGTGGTCAATGCTGAATTTGTTTCTTTCAGTAAACTTCGTTGCTACTTCTGCTAAATAATGGGACCTTGATTTCTGATTCTGTCAAGTTATGCAGAGTGTAATTGATGATGGTGGTTACAACCGACTTGGTTGGGAAGTGGAATTGGGGCAAGGTGAGGGTACACTCTCTTCCAGCAGTCTGGTTATGGTGAAAACCGGAGGCCATTTAAAAGAACAAGTTGTTTTAATTTCTACTTCAGCTTGGGTAATGCCTGCCAGGGTGGGGGTGGGGAGAAGGAGAGAGAGTGAAAGATGCTGAAACTAAACAGCAAAGAAGAAAATAAAGAATTGGTGCTATGTTTTTAGTGTTCCTTTTTGCTCGTGGGTGGAAATGGCTTTTGGTGAGTCATAGGTATGGAGCATCGTGGCTGTCTGAAGAGGGGAAAGTGTCAGGAGTTTATCAGTTGTGAGGCTACTGTGTGGCTGGGCCTGCTTCTTCCAGGAGGCCATCTGGCACTTCTCTTTGCCAGCTTCTCGTTACCCCCCAAGTGGAAATCCATGCTCGGTTGTGTGTGAGGGAGGCATGGAGCAAAGGAGGAAATTAAATTGCTGTTAGAGTCTACAGTAAGAAAAGGGGGAGCGACTTCCAAAGGTCCTTCTACCTCTAGGAAGCAGGCGAGCTGAGCAGTTGAGCAGTTGGAGGGGCCAGTTATCTTGGGATGTACCTCTGCTCGCACCCTGGCTTTCTAGAGCATTGGGAGTGTTGGGGGCAATGAGATTGAAGCCCGTCTGGCTCAAGACATCTGGCCAGCTCCTCAGCTCCTGGGTGGAAGCCCATAGCACCAACATGCATCTGGTTCTGATGTACCTGCCAGGGTGGTATGGACATCGGCTGTGTGGCCCACACTTGACCTGCTTGGGATTAGCAGGTCCTCTGCTCAGCAGCACTAAAGCTTTTGATTATTTCAAAGCACTGGGTGGCCTCTTCCCCGTCTGTGAAGCCCATGGACCCCCTCCATACTTCTGTTATGTCAGAGTTAATTGCCCGGCAGTGGGGTGTCACTCATGGTGGGATGGCCAAGAAATGCTGCAGGAAAGGACAGTGTCCTCAACAGGTAAGAGCATGGCATGGGATTCTCTTTCTCTTTGCTAGCCAGAGGGTCCTGAAACCGAAACGTCTTTTGAATGGGATAGTCCTTGGCATTTTCTCTTCAGTGGTTCCCCATGGACAACCCTTTTTTGCCCACCTTAGGCTGTAGGCACCCCTGATTGGGGTCTTGAAAGTATAACTAGTGTTGCTTTCAGTGGGCAGCTCATCCCAGTGGCGCAGCTTAACAAGAGAGCATCCAGGTCAGAAGCAAATGTCCTCTGTTCCTAAGTGTCCTGGGAACAAATTCCCTGCCAATGCCACGATGCCACGAAAGAGTGAACAAGAGGCAGGACTCCTCGTGGCTCTAGAGCTTTCCTACCAAGTCCATGGTGGAGTGGGGTAGGGCTTGGGAACAGGGAAAATTAAAAAAAAAGCAGTCAGTTGCCTTTTCTGGAAATAGGGTAGCTTCGGATAAATTGGAGACCAGGAAATCCTGCTGATAGAGAGAGGGAATGATGTTCCCTAGGTAGGATGGCTCTGTGGTCTAATCCACTTGTTCTGAGAGTTCTAGGATTCATGGTAAAGGAAAGACCAGGGCTCTCCCAAAGTGACCAAAAAAACAGGTCCTTACACCCGCTGCCGCCCCCCCCCCCCCCCCCCGGGCCCCTATCCAAAGAGATCCACAGCACTGGGGTCTGAACGGACCTGCCTCTCAAGAAACCTGGTGGGAGAACCTGGGGTTTCTCCAACTTGTAAGCTTTCAAAATAGACAGGAAAGGAGGAGAGCCCCCTTCTTTCAGATTAGGTCTCTTTAGGATCAGAAAACTTATCCATTACTATGGCATCCTTAGCATCCTCATAGGTGGCCCTTATAGGTTGTTTAGGATACGAGGTAAGCTAGGAGGAGGAGGAGGTTGGCCTGTTCCCAGCAACCCAAGTATATGAAAACGAGTGTTTTCGAGTGTTTTCTAAGAGAAAACAAAAACAAAAACAAAACTCTACAGCTTTAAAGATTTTCCCTAGTTAGAACCCATCTACTTTTATCAGGGTCTCATGCAGGCAACCAAAGCCAGCTTCACCTCTTTTTCTTCTTTGTGGCATGAGGTTGCATTTTAGAAGGGCTCATTTGATGCTGTTTGCAGCTAGTTCCTCTGTCCCTGTCCTCATCTGGGTCTTTGTATGAAAACTCCATGTGTAAGAGCTTTACAATTTTTTCTATTCATTTTGACTAGAAAATTTTACAAGGCATAGACACATTAAGTTTCATGAACTACATTGGACTGATCTACCAAAATGCATCTCACTTGTATTTGGATATAGTCAAGGGTGGAGTGCTGTATCACTCACTGCCTGCTGAAACCTCACCAAGACTTTCTCACTGGCAGAAATTTCTAGAAAATCCTGCTGAGGCCATTCCTGGGGTGGCCCAGAGCAGTCCAGGCCTGTGAGGAGAAGGGAAAGAGGGTGAGGAGTCAGGAGGGTTAGTTTGGGGAATGGGGTTCCTCTCTGCACCTCAGGGGAGCTGGGAGGCTCGGCTGGACAGGAGGTCTACCTCAGTCTCTCTGAGCTTCTGTTTGGGTTGAGTTAGGAAAGGAGACACCTTTTCTAAAAGGGAAGAGACAGTCACTGACTATATCTCACATGCACTTGTCAAACCTTTTCCTAAAGTTGTGTCCTCACCACCTGCCCTGTCGTGGGAGGAGTAACATCTCGGGAGATTTTGTACCTGCTCCTGGTCCTGTACTCCAGCTCTGGACTTACCATTATCTGCTTGCTGTGCACTGAGTTCCAATCTATAATTCCTGAAGTGCCGCTGCTACCACTGACTTGGAGGGGAGTGTGAGAGCTGCACCTGGAGCTTACCCTTCAGTGTGGGGACATAAAGCTATGGTTCTTAAGGTAGTTTGTTGTGATTGCTTCTTTCTCTTTTTCCCTCACCTGCACCGTGTAGATTCCAATCCTGCCAGTCTCTTGGTGCTAAAGCCATGACCAAGTCATGGGCTTAACAGCTGGCTTGGAGATACCTACCTAGTCTCTGTGGGTCCCACCTCATGGTTACGGGGGTGGGGTGGGGATGGGGATGCCCTCTCTTCCACAGCAGCCTGCTCTTTCCTTTCACAGGCCACACTGACTCAGACACCCACCTAATCCCAGGAGCCTTCTCCATTTGTGAGCCTTCCTCCTCTTACTCAGCAGGGAGGCTTGCTTCTCCAAGTCAGACTGCAACTCTCAACCTTACCAAGACAACCAAGAGTAAGTCACGTTTCTCAGCGGGGCTTGGGCCTCAGCCTTGCTGAGCTGTCTGGGAGATCAGCTAGAAATAAGTCCCCAAAGGCCCAAGCACAATCATGCACCCAAGCCCCTAGAGGCTTGTGGAATAATGGGGATCTTAGGCTGGGCCCCTGGGTAGCTAGCCACACACCATTGACGTCTTCTCCCTCTCAGAATAATCAATCTGCTCTGTATCCTAGGAGCTGGGGACAGGCCTGCTAGGTGTATGGTTTTTGAAAGAGCCTTGATAGTGGGTTTGCAGGGAGCCTTTGTTACAGCTTTGTTAGAGCAAGCCTTCAGCAGCTCTTACAGACCCCTCACCGTCTTTCCCCTACTCCTGCAGAGAAGAATTTGCCTAGGATCCACTGCCTGCTACAGATAGCTTCCTACCAAATGCTTGCTCCTTCCTTAAAATCTCTCCCCCCAGGTCTGGGCAGATCAACATGGTTCGCATGGCCTTTGAGACCGGGCCCTCCACCCCCATCCCCACAAAGTAGGCATTCTGAAAGTGACCTCCCGATGCTGCTGCACATTATGGCCCAGTAGCCTGGCCAAGTCGTACATACGCCTGTCCTAGCACGGCAGAGACACATGAGATTGACATGGGGTTCAAAAGGGAGGAAGACACCTGACCTCCTCTGGTAAAGATCGTGACTGAAAGAGCTGATTGAGGATGCCAAGCTCTGCACTACCTGGCTTGCGATTGCCAGACAGCAGCCAGGCTGCGGGATTTGCGGGTACAGTTGCTTTACACTCAGTCGCCATAAGTATACATCCTCTTTAGCCAAGGTACAGCTTTAAGCAGGATCCCCGAAGGGTGCTCTGGCACACAGACTGTTTACATACACACCAGCTTGCATGCACAGTGTTCTATATAGCTACCCCACACCACCCCAAGCCTTCCTGTTCCAGTTGTCTTCCTGTTTCTTTTCCAGGCCCTTCTATCTGCGCACACACAGTCCCTTGGAGAAAATCAAGTGTATGTACCTCTCCCTGCAGATGGTGGATCTGTAAGGTAAGGCATTCATTCACATTGGGACCCCTCAAGTTACCGTTTATTTATTTATTTCTGTCCCCAGCCAACCAGCTTGGGTTTTCTGGCAAGGGTTGGTTGGGGAGATACAAATGAAGTGGAGGCCTCATTCTCTGGGGGCTTTTGTTTCTCTCTGATGCCCTAGCTCACGCTCTAGAACAAAGGGTTGAGGTAAGTGATTTCTCTTTTGGTCTCCGAGAGCCTCACTTGCAGGGTTCCTCTGCAGGCATCCTCTCTGAGACCCCCCAGGAGAGCCAAGGCGGGAGTGGGGGTGGGGGGGGGGTGGGGGACAGATCCGTGGTAACTACTGCTGACCTTGCCAGCTCCTCCTCTTTGAGAAGCAGAAAGCCCTTTTCAGATGTTAGCTGCTCAGTCAGTGCCTTTGGGTGCCTACTTCTACTCCCCCAAGCCTGAAGAGTCGAGGCTGACAGCTACACACACACCTCTCTTGTTAGGACAAGGGCTGGGTGATTCGTCTCAGAGGTAAAGTGCTTAAAGGAACCACCCCCCACCCAGCCCCAACATACACACACACACACACACACACACACACACACACACACACACACACACACACACACACCTCAAAGCTGACTCCATCTTACAGTGCTCACCTAGCATTTGCAAGGCCCCTGTATTCTCGTTACCGCAGAAAACAAAAAACACATGGGACAGCTATTAAATAGCTCTTGGAAGAGGTTAAAGGTCTTTCTCTCGGGGTTGAGAATTTTTAAAAGCTCTTTTGGGTAGAAATCTTCAGGGGATACAACATAGATATTAGACTTGCTGGTGCAATTTTAAAATTTGAAAGACCCCTCTCCCTAAAAGTGTTCATTAAAAATGGTTCTATTTTGTTTGCCGACTGGCCTTTTTGCCATTGTGAGTCAGGAGGAGTCTTGAGGCCAGGCCACTAACACGTTTATTTTCCTTGTGCTAGTTTTGAGGTGCTGGTCCACTTTCTGATGAGATCTATTGAGTTTTTCTTTAGCTGTGTGTGTGTGTGTGTGTGTGTGTGTGTGTGTGTGTGTGTGTGTGTGTGTTGGGGGGTGTTCAGACTTAAAAACATACATGGAAAGTTAACCCCTTCTGTGCCAGCCCATTACAGGAGTCCTTAGAGCATGCCAGCTTGGCTTCTTACTCATAGAGGTGGGCACTGTGTCTGGCCTGGGTGGAATGAGGCGATCTGACCCTTTTTATTTCAGTGACGACAGGAGAGCTTTTGGAAACCAGTATCTCTCTTGTTTCAGTGTGCCCAGTTCAAGCCAATGATGCGGGGTCCACCTTCTGCTGAGAGCCTCTCCTGGAAGGCACAACTCATGCCTGAGTTCATGGAAGTGCTTCAGCAAAAGTATTTTTTGTTCATTAAAAAAATAATAATAATTAAAAGATGTCTATGCTTCCCTCATGCAGTGTCTGTCCCATCACTTGCACCTTGTGAGCTGTCTAATGTTAGGAACTTACAGACCCACAGGCACAGTTCAGATGTGTTCTGTGCTTTACTTCCTAGTCACTGAGTCGTGTGGAGGATTTACACTTGATTTGCCTTTGCCTAGACTGTTCTCACCAGAGGCTGGGGAGTTGGGGGGGTGGGGGACACTTGGAGGGAAGTCCAAATTTAAAAGATCAGCCTTGTGCCCCAAGTAAGTGACACAGCCACACCTGCTTCCTGATCCCTGTAAGAAGGAGGCATCCCATAGACCGGCCCCCAAGCTCTGGAAACTGAGTTTTACAGAGATCTTTTCCCCACCCCTGTACTCATAGCCAATTCCAGTTATGTAAATTTCCCGTTGTGTTCCCATGCAAAACACACATGCAGAGGGTCACTGTCACCTCCTATTCCCCACTGGGCCACACTGCTGATGCCCAACACACAACCAGAGAGTCAAAGAGAAAGCAAGCCTCTTCTCATGTATTAGAAGGTTATTTCATAGTTGTATTGAATGGGTCCACAGAGAGCAACTCGCTACTTGTTTTCAAGAAACAGGTACACTGTCCCCTTCTTTTAAAAAAGCTAACAATGTTTCCAAAGCAGAAGGGAAATTACCGAGGTCCATTAGTGCCTTACATACAGACTATGGCTGGTCTGGGGGAAACTATATTTCTAAATAAACAGCTCGCTGTTTATTATGTATTTTTTTTTTAATTCAAAAGGGAAGAAAAGGGAGCTGTATTGTCTTGTTAACACATCCAAGAAGAGAGGGTATAACTCACTTCCCCTTTTGCTTCCCTTAAGTCCCGGGCTGCATCTAGTCAGTTGCCAGGTTCCCTATTTCTGCTTGCTAGGATGACCTGGGGACACACCACTTCTCTAGTTTCCAGTTTTCAAAATTTTAAAGACTGCAGGGGGCTGGTTCTCTGGGAATATTATCAGAGCCTTTGTGGGGGGGGGCGCGCGCGGGGGTGGGGAGGGGGTCACATTTGCCACTGTTTTATCTAAAGCTATGCCCCCCTCACATTTTGTGAGCTTAGAAGCAAAGTCGGTAGGCATCTTCCCTGGTGGGACATTGGGTGCACACTAGCGATTGCTATTCTGTCAGTGAGCAAGCCCGCAGAAGACATCGGGTATGGTAGGCCTGGGGCTCCCTAGTGTCTGAACTGGGAGCCGCTTCAGGTGATCAGTCACACACAGGATCTAGCAACAGGCTGGCCAGTTCGGCGTCCTTGTGGCCCAAGAGAAGCCAAGGCCTGGTCCAAGTGTCCAGGGCTACTCAAGAACTCCACACTGAGAAAGGCTTGCATGGGCCCCAACGGCCCAAAACTTCCACAAAGCATCCAGCTCTGACCCCCGCTGCTCCACAGTCTCAGCAGCCAAGACTCTCATACACTCCCAAACAACACGACCTGCCTGCACAAGGTCATTCTGCTCTGACAGCTTCGCCCTCCACTTTTGGAATGTTGCAAAAGAAGTCGTTTGAAACCCTGTCCTGAAGCAAAGCATCCTTTGGGAGTGGTGCAAAGTTTGCCCCTTGAATACAATAAATCTCAGGCTCTAGTCCGAGGCCTGGGCCACAGTCTTTGAAGAACCAGGGGGTCAAGAGTCTTTACTTTGTCAGGGGCCCCAGGATCCAGGGCTCCAGAGCACCACGGAGGAGGATTTCTGGGAAAGTTCGGGTCAGCGAGGCGCTGAATTCAACCCCTCTATCGAGCGAGTAGGAGGCGGACTCACGACCCCAGAACAGAAAATCCAAGAACAACAGGCGTTTCAACTTTACTCCCCACACGCCTGACAAAAAGTGATAGCCAGACCTCCAAACTTAGACCCTCAGAGCCTTCAACAACTTCTCCAACCTTTCAAGGAAACTTCCAGAACTTTTCTTGCCTGCACTCCCTTTTTCTCAGGCTTCTTCTAGCCAGGGGGTTTGTGGATTACTTCCTCAACTGCCACGGGTCTCGAAGGTGCCCAAGGCCTGAGGATCTCCACAACAGCAATAATAGTACTGAGTTGGGGAAGAACTAGAGAAAAGAGTAGAAATGTTGATGAAAGGGGACATTTCAAAAGGTTTCAGTTGACACTTATCGGTAACCTCGACAGACAACTCCATTAAAAAAAAAAGAAGAAGAAGAAGAAGAAGAAGAAGAAGAAGAAGAAGAAGAAGAAGAAGAAGAAGAAGAAAATTTACTACTGTTCTTGAAAGCCGTTATTTTTTTTTACATCGCTTTTAGGAAGATAGATGAACAAAACATCACGTTTCAAGCCATTTTGATCTGTAATTAAATGGCAGGATCGGTTTGTATTCTCCTACGGCTTTTACAGAAGTTGCAGTGATCCAAAGTCGGGTTGCTGTGTCAGAGTGGCATTTTTATTAATGAGAATACAAAAAGCTTGCATATTCTTAGCCCGGCTTGAATTTAGTTGCTAAGCAACCGGTGTATGGTAATTCATCCGCGAAATTTAAATCTTTGAGAAAGGATCCTGCGTTTTTGCTGAATGGTCTCCAGGAGGAGAGCAACTTGTGGGACCCGCAGCAGCTGCCACGGTTTGACTACTGGGGCCTTGCTGGGCCGAGCTTGGTCTGGGCCGCCCCGCGGCCACTGCCACCACCCCACCTCGGTTCCCAGCGCGGCCCTCCCTCTGGGAGAGAAGCGGGCTTTTGGCTGCCAGCTGCCTCGGCCCCTCCCGCTCGCCTCCGGTGCTCGCTGGTTTTCACCTGAGGCAAGCCTTCACCTGACTGAGTCGCCAGTTTCCCTAGGGCTTCCCAGTCCAGACCTGACTATGAATTTTCCCCATCCCTTCCCTTTGCTCGCGTGTACACACACACACACACACACACACACACACACACACACACACACACACACACACACACACAGAAGAGCGGCCAGGAGAATGCCTGTTGCCCTCCTCCCAGACCCCTCTGAGGTCACTTCCAGAGCCCACTCTTCCTCGAGGAAAAGCGGGCTCATCAAGAACGCAGCCCACAGCCCACCAGAAGGCCAGGCCGCCGCCGCTGGCCGGCAGTGACATCATAGACTCCTGCTCGCCAAGTTTGCGCCCACATTTTAGGATACAGGAACAAACACGGATGTGAAATCAAGAATGAAAGAGAGAGTAATCTAATTAATAGGCCATGAGCCAGGCTAACAAAATCAAAGAATCTGATTACACAAGTACCCCTCTTGCTATCTCCGCCTCCCCCCACCCCCTGCTCTTCCAGACTCCTCGCTATTTCCTTCCTTAGGCTGGAAAGTTCAGGAGGTAAACACAGAGCCCTCTGATTTCCTTATTGAAATCAAGATCAAGCCTATCCTGGGGCTCCCGCAGCCAAGAGGTCACATGGGTGACCTTCAGGCCCTGGGACTAAGAACCCCGAGGAATTGAAATGGCCATCCAAGCAAAGCAACCGAAAGCCAAGAGCTCTCTGGCTGGTCCAGTGAAGCCAGGGGCCCCCAACTCTCTCACGCACCACTGCTAACAACACCTGCACTCATTACTTCTGTCCTCTGTAGCGGGACCGGAGAAGGGGGGCTCCGCCCTCGGTCGGTTTAAAAGGGTCTAAACATTTGGGTTGTTGTGGTTAAGCCTAGCGCTACTTTTTTCCACTCTATCACCTGCTCGGGGTCACTGGAAGACTCGAACACTCGGCTGCCTTTCTCTTCCCTTCCCCAACGCAGAAATACAAGCACACCCAGTTGTTGGGGTTTTATCAGCGTTTGATCGGTATAGCCAGCCTCATGCGCGCTTCAGGGAAAGAACAATGCTCTTTAACAGCTTTCCATTTTAAGGGGGGGGAGCAGGCCCACATCCTAAATAACTAATTTCAAGACTTGTATCTAGTGCCAATACCTGTTGCATTTATTTTAGAGTTGATTAATTACCCTGGAACTTGGGCAAACTAAACTCCATGTGGAGAGAACGTTTCTTCCTTCAATTTAGTTCTGAAAGCTACAAGTTATTGATGGCTCTTATTCTATTTACATACAAATTGGTGCAAATATGCCCATCTCTTTAAATGCATTTTGTATAGATATATAAAAGTGTCATTTTTGATTTAGCTTGAAGACGTTGATCATTTATTACAAAAATAAACGAATAAATACAACAATATATTGTTGTTTCCAACAGGATAAATACTTTACAAATATATAATTTAAAAAGCAAATTTAATTGTTAAAATTATTTAAAATATTACACTCATTGATAAAACTATGAAGAGTATATACTGCATTTGATATAAGAATCAATTATTCTCTGAATGTTGAAAACCATTCATACAAAACAGATCATGAGCATGGTAATGAGCAAACACTGGAGGCCACGGGGAAGCAGAGGGAATCTCTAAGATCAATAATGGACACTTCTATTTTTTTAGAAAAAAAGAAATAATCCTTGGCTAGTAATACTAAGGAGGGAAAAATGCAGAGCAAAAACAGCAATGTGACTTATATTTTTAAATACAACTTGAATTATTTATTGGATAGAATTGTCAGGGGAGGATGACTGGGTGGATGAGGTGATCAAGGCTTGGATAATGTCTCAAGAGCCGCAGTCTACTGTAAAGTACAAATGGGCCTAGTTTGAAACTAGCCAGGCTGATGGGACAGAACTTTGTCCCTTTCCTTTGGATTGGAAGGGGAGGAGAGGGATGGGCTGAAATGGAGGAGACAAATGGGCAGTTTACGAAGCACAAGACGCTTGTGCTGCAAAAGAACACAATGACCAAATTCATTAAAAAGATCTAGTGATACGTAACAATATTTTCATTATTTACATGTGTAACAATATGAGCCTTAGCACAAAATCTCTCACTTTATATCTTCTCTGTTGTGTTTCAACCGTGAAGTTCATTTTGTAAATACATTCAAAGGGTTGACTTAAAAAAAAAAAGAAAGAAAGAATAAGCACCAGCATATGTTACAAAATGCCAAAATGACAGACAAGCTACCTTGCTGGCACGGCTTCTTCACCCCTCAATCAGGGCTTCTTCCAAAATAATCAGCAAAGGTTGCTTCTTAAGAGAAAACAGTGTAAAAAAAAAATCTAATGTTAGTTCCCTTGTCCTCAGCTAAATCAAGTAAGTAGATACCTCCGGAAAATTTAAATAGACCCATTCCCCCATCTAATCAAGCACCATTATTACAGGAGGAAAACAAAACAACCCCCACCCCCCAAAAAACCAACAAACCTTCAAGCTTCTTCTCACAAGCCAGTGGTGTGCATCACCTACAAACAACCTGCCCTGTGCCCAGTTTCCAGTCAGGCCTTCTTGGCTTACCCTTATAGTCCTTCAAACAACAACAACAACAACAACAACAACAACAACAACCAAAGGAAAAAAACAAAAACGCCGAGGACCCTCACCCACTCCAAGTTGTTCCTAGGGAAGGGCAATAATGGTAGCAGGAGAAACAGAAAGCAAGAACACAGAGGAAAGTAAAATGTAGCTTCTGATCGACAGTCCCCTCCCCCCCCCGCCCGTTTAATAAATATGGCCTTTTTCAGATTTCACAAATCAGAATGATTGTGATTTTTTTAGTACAATTTAATCCCTAAAATGATGCAACCCAATACATGGCTATCTGGCTGGGCTTGATTTGTGCTATAGGGTCTGTCTGGGAGAAATAACTGTTCCTTATTCTCATAGTTTCCCAGGATTTTTAAATCCCTGAATCTATATTGGAGGTGTGTGTGTGTGTGTGTGTGTGTGTGTGTGTGTGTGTGTGTGTGTGTGACTATATTAGGTGACAAAATTAGGCAAAAAGTAAGTGGTAGCTGAGTGAGATTGGGGGAAACTCATGTAAAATCACTGCTTTCTCACTCCCTCAGTACTTAAAAAAAATACATACAATACGCAGGGACTCAAGCAGCCAGAGGCTTTCTCATATTTAGCCCTCACAACCTGAGGCACTACATTTTCATTTTTCCATGTTGTAAATACTGATACATTAACTTGATAAATGTGACCACTCTGCAGGGTCTTATCTAAAAAGTGACTTAAAAAGCTAAAGCCCTCAGCACTGGTATAGAAGATGAAGGATCATGCTTCCGGAGGACCAAACCACAGAAGTGGGGAGCCCCGAGTCTGAGCCGGTCACAATCGAAGTACAGAGTCAAGCAGGGCTCTGTACTGACTTCTTTCATGAAAGGAATAAGAAAGGAAAGCAACCATAAGCTTAATAACTGAAATTCAGTCACCTATAGGTATCAATGGGAAGTAATTGATATCAAAATACTTCAATGATTTATAAGCTATTCTTCGCAACTATTGATCTTCCAGAAAAAAGAAACAGGGATGTATTGGAGGGTGAGAAGATGAGAGAGAGAGAGAGAGAGAGAGAGAGAGAGAGAGAGAGAGAGAGAGAGAGAGAACTAAGAGGGGCTGTATTTACCATGATTGACCGGGTGGCTATATTTTCAGTGGTGATGTAGCTCAATTATGCAATTCAAAACAGGTACCTTCAAGAAAATGGCTAGTAGTTATAGATCACTCAGCAAAAACACCAGAGACACGGAAACTGAGAGTAAGGAAAATATTGTGAGATTTATAGATCAGCAAGGATCGAACAACCACTCTTGCTAAAGCACAGATGTTTTCAGCAATCCTAGCCTGCTGTGGAGGTTTCCAAACACACCTTTGCGTGGGGAAGCTCTGCTCCCTCAATGCTATGACTTAAGGATCTGCATTAGTAAAAAAATACTTTCTAGAGAACTCTTTTCTTCCCACACAGTGTTGATGCATCAGACACAGACTATTTCATTCTAACAAATTTATTTTCTCAATCAGCTCTTACGGAATCACTACTCAAATTAAATTACAATCAAAGGATCACATCAAAAGATACCCTTATTACCTAACAACTGTCCATATTTTCATTTCATTTTGATTTGTGCTCGTCTGAAAAAAACACGTAATACAAGATCTGGGGAAAAATAAATTACCGTTTTGCAGCAGTTCATAAGTATTCTGAATAAAATATTAAAAGAAGTCATTTAATGAAAATATAAAGCAAATATTTTTAGATCAACAACGGATCTAACGATTCTATATTGCCGTCATTTGAAAAGTCTGTTTATTAAAACCTACCAAAAACACTGCTTGGAAATGGCAGTATTACATAATCACATCCGCAGCACCCATTCAATCAAAGTTGGCAACGGATTGAGGGCAGAAGTCAAGGGAAGTGCGGCGGTTGGTGCTGTCTTTCCACACCCTTTTATTCGGAGTCAGTCCAGAAATAAAAAATAAAAAAATGTTAATAAAAAAAATATTAGCGGTGGAATCTTTAGGCATGGTCCACCCCGAGCGGCAGTCGGCAAAGCCCGGGTTCGGTGGCGGTGGCCTGGCCTCTCTGGGCCGTCTCAAAGGCTGGGCCCTGGCCCCGGCTGCTGTGCCCTCTCCGCTGGCGGCTGGATGCGCCTGGCCTTTAGCCTCGCTCAGCCCGGGCTCTTTCGCGCTGCTGCTTTTATTTCCAAGGTTACTGCGAGGATGCTTTCTTTTGGCTTTCCTATTCAGTCTGTGAACTTCAGAAATTGTGAATCTCCCCCAGCCCCTCCCCAGACTCTGTTTCTCCTTCCTTCCCATTTCATAGTTGACTTATTTGTTCCCCAAAGACTTTAATATGGCCAAGAAAAACACTGTCCTGGAGTAGAGTCAGACCTGGACGAAACCTGGTGCGTCTTTCTTTTTCAGGTCACTCCCAATAAAGTTTCCATGGATCTTTTAGGCAGCCCTTTTGGAAGAAGTGGAAGGAAGGGAGGGGGGTGTCTCTCTTGTCTCAGAGGAGAGGAAGAAGCAGGTGTTCTCCACCGACGCCATGAAGGACATCTCAGGGTGGACAGTACCTCAAGAGTGCAGTTTCGGTGCGTTGGGCATCTTCAACCTTCTTTCAAAACAGAAACAAAACACCACCAGAGTATAAACGAGATGTCCCGGGTGCCCCCTTTCCTTCTTCTTCCGGTTTTGCTTGTTATATATGCATATAAAACAGTCTTGGTATTTATTATGCTTTAAAATTTTTTTTTTTGGTCCCTCCATCCTTGGACTTCAAAAAGAGTCTCCTCGGTCGGTGTCTCCCCAGTCGTTCTCCCCCCCTCCTACGGGCCGTGGCACGCCTGTCTTTGGGCGGAGGGGAGGCGGCCGAGACGCCCTGGCCCGGGCCAGGTGCTGGGTCTGCGCGGCGGCAGCGGCGGCGGCGGCGGCGGCGGCGGCGGCAGCGGCAGCGGCAGTGGCGGTTCTTGGCGGCGGCTCGGAGACGGCGGCGGCGGCGGCGACCGTGGCGGTGCTGACAGCGGCTGCGGAGGTGGCGACGGCGGCGGCCCTCTTCGCGCTGCGCGCCCCCCCGGGCCTTCACTGTACGCTGGTCTGCAGCCCGTGGTGCGGCGGCGGTGTGTCAGCGCTCACGGTACCCACCTGCGAGTAGACATCGTCCGGCGTCTGCTGCTGGATGCCCGGGGGCGTCATGCGTTTCTCTTTTTGGCGCCGGTTGCAGAACCAGACCCGCACGACCTCCTTTTCCAGCTGCAGGCTGTCGGCCAGGTTGGTGATTTCCTGCGCCGAGGGTTTAGGGCACTTGAGGAAGTGGCTCTCGAGCGCGCCTTTGACGCTCACCTCGATGGAGGTCCGCTTCTTGCGCTTGCGGCCCTGGGCCGCGATCTTGTCGATGCTCGTGGGGCTGCCGGTGCTCGAGTCCGCCTCCTCCAGCCACTTGTTCAGCAGCGGCTTGAGCTTGCACATGTTCTTGAAACTGAGCTGCAGGGCCTCGAAGCGACAGATGGTGGTCTGCGAGAACACGTTGCCGTAGAGCGTGCCCAGAGCCAGCCCCACGTCCGCCTGGGTGAAGCCCAGCTTGATGCGCCGCTGCTTGAACTGCTTGGCGAACTGCTCCAGGTCGTCAGACGTCGGCGTGTCCTCGTCCGAGTGCGGGTCGTGGCTGTTGAGTCCCGGCCCCGCGCCGCCGCCGCCGTGATGCGGGGGTCCCTGCGCGTGGTGCGGGTGCGGCGGGTGCGGGTGAGCGTGGTGGTGATGGTGGTGGTGATGCTCGGCCAGCTCGGGCGTGTCCCCGCGCACTAGCCCCGGGTGAACGAGGCTCTGGGCTCCACCGCCCGCGCCGCCGCCGCCGCCTCCGGGTCCCGGGGGCGCGCTGAGCATGCCGTTCACCGTGAAACCTCCAGGCTGGGAGTAGAGCAGACTCTGCGGCGGCGGCTGCTGGCCGCCCGCCATGGACGGGAGGTGAGCGGCGGCTGCGGCGGCGGCGGCGGCAGCGGCGGCGGCGGCGGCGGCCCCCCAGCCCCCAGGGTGGCCCTGGTGCGGGGGCGGCGGCGGGGGCCCGAGATGCGGAGGCCCGCGGTGGTGCAGCGCGGTGCCGGCGTGCAGGTCTTCGCGCCCAGCGCCACCCTTCACGTCGGGGCCCTGCGGCGGCGGCGGCGGCGGCTGCGGCGGCTGCTGGGGGCTGCCGGCCATGCCCACCGCGCTGCCCGACCACGGCGAGCTGGCTTCCACGGCGGCGGCGGCGGCAGCGGCGGCGGCGGCGGCAGCGTGGGGCAGGGCGGTGACCCACTGGTGCGCGTGGCTCAGCATATGGCCGCCGTTGCTGGCGGCCATGGCCCCCTGCATGAAGTCGCTCTGGACCATCTTGACCGAGGACGGGTCCCCCCGGTAGGCGCCCGAGGTCACAGCGGCGCTCCCGGGCTGCATGCCACCGCCGCCGCCCCCCGCCCCGCCGCCGCTGCCGCCGCCCCCTCCGCCACCGCCCGCCCCGGCCGCGTCCGAGTGCACAATGGAGCCGGCCGTCAGCAGGCTGTTCCCCGGCAGGTAGGGGTTAGAAGCCGCCGTGGCCATGCCGCTCCGCTCCCGCCACCCCACCGCCGCCACCACCGCCGCCGCCGCAGCAGCAGCCGCGGCCGCCGCCGCCGCCGCCGCCGCCGCGCCCCCCCGCCTCCCGCCTCCTCCCCCCGCTCCTCCTCCCCCGCCCCGGGTCCCCGCCGGCCCCGCCGCCTTCGCCGCCGCCTCCTCCTCCTCCTCCGCCGCCTCCGCCCCCGCCGCCGCCGCCGCCGCCGCGGCCCGGGGCTGCAGCTGCAAGGCCGCTCGGCAGGGCGCGGGGGTCGCGGGCGGGCCTCGGTCAGCAGCAGCCGCCGCCGCAGCAGCCGCAGCAGGAGCAGCGCCCTGGGGAGGGGGGATCGCTTCTCGGGGTGAGCTCCGTGGCCAGCCCCTTCAGGGGGGGTCGTGGTCTCCCCCCTGGCCGGGAGCAATCGGCTGGCTCCAGCAAGGCTCGCCCAGTGGGGCGGGGATCCGTACTTCGGGCGCTCTCTCCGGGCGCGGGGGCTCCGGTTGTTCCTCTTGTCCTCGTCCTCCTCGGGCGGGTGCGGACTCTGCCCCGGCGCGGGGCTCTGTCCACCTGCTAAGCAAAGGTTTCAGGAGAGACAACAAAGGACGAAGCGGTTCCTTTCTTCCTCGGCCAAATTGTGGGTGGCCAGCAACCGGGCCGCTCCTTGCTGGTCCGCTGGCTTCTGTCCCCTCTTCAGCAACACATTTCACTGTTTCCCCTTAGCATAGTAAAACTTTTCCGGTCCTTACAGGCGTGGTGGTACTGGCGGCTCGCGTCTGCAGGAGTGGGGAGGCTGGCTCCTGTTCTCCCCCTCTGGTCCTCTCCTTTCAAGTTTTGTCCTGTCCTAGGAAAACTTCTTGCGATGATGCATGTCTCTGAAGTTGCTATTGCCGGAGCTCTTGGGTGTCTCTGAAACAAGAGTCCCTTTTCATTTTCCTCGCAACAGTCACGGTCTGGTGCGACATCTTTCCTTTTGGGCAGAAATTAGGAAACAAATATAACAAGGCAAAAAAAAAAAATTGAACAGAAAAAAAAAAAAAGGTCGAATTGCTCTGTTACCTTGTTGCTGAAGGTTGGGGTTGGTGTTTTATTTTTTCCCCCGCAGTTGTCTGGAGAAGGAGGAAGAAGAAGAAGAAGAAGAGTGCATTGGTGGAGATGGAGATGTGTGTGTGCATACAGGGGATCCTTGATACACAACCAACTCCTGTGGGCACGTTGTACCGCTCCTAGAGTGCCCGACGGCGGGCGCGGGCGTGCCGGGGCAGAGTTGCTGCCGGAGCTAGCTCTGCGCCCGGGTTCTCTCTTTCTCCCTGTCTCACTTTCCCTCTCCCTCTCTCTCCCTCTCTCGAGCGCCCGCTCTCGCTAGGATCTGACAGTTCGCTCTCTGTCCCTCCCTCTCAGAGCAGGGACTGTCGAATGTTTACCCTCCGCCGCAAGCGCGCACCCACCACCACACTTTCCCAAATACAAGGAAGTCGAGCACCAGGGCCCCCGCTGATTGGCTACCCGCTGGGTGATTGGCAGGCCTGGAATGACTGGCTTAGGACGCGCGGCCCCCCTTCCGGCCGTTCCGATTGGTTGCTTTTTAATTTAGGCAGAGCGTCGTAGAAGCTGGAAATCTGTCGTTCCCCAGCCTCCCTCCCCCGCGCCACTTTCCCCTCCCCGCCCCTCCCCCTCCGCCCCCGCCCCCCCCCCACTCCGCCCCTCCGCCACATCTTAACTCTTAGTGTCCGGCCCAAACGTCTGCGTTTCCTCCGCGGCTCCCTGCCTCTGCGATTGGTCTGGGAGGTTGGGGAAAAAGGGAAGAGAAAAGGAGGGGGCGGGGGGGGGGGAGAAGGGGGGTTAGAAGGAAAACGAAGAGGGGGGAAAATCACGAAAAATAGCAGTCTACCCATTCTACCTAGACTGCGTTGTGTTGCACCCCCCACCCCACGCCAGAGATTTGTAAAGCGCGCGCCACGGATGCACGGTTCAAGCTAATACCTATAGACAGATGTGTCCCCAATGGTTTCAAAGTTTCCTCTTCCCTTCGCGCGCGAGCCCCCATCTCCTTCTTGCCGGAGGTGGGAAAGGGAGGCTTGCTTCGCCCAGAGCTCCGGTGGCCAAGCTTCTTGGAAATCCGCCACTGCAACTTTGTGCAGCCGCCGCGCGCCGGCGGCGACCCTCTTTGTTTAAGTTCTCGGATGCCATCATCTGGGAAACCTGCAGCCCTGTACCAGCGCGGGGCCCGCGCGTGCGAGACGGACCGCTTGCTGCGGCTGCTCGCTCTCCCCCACCCCTCTCCCTCTCCTTCTCCCTCCTTTCCTCCCTCCCTCCCACCCTCCTCTGGGATTCTTGCAAGTAGCGTGCGTGCCCTTGTGAGTTTGGAGGGTGCCGGTCAACGAAGCCACTCGAGGTATTTGAAAGGCAATCAGCCCGACGGTCCCCCTAGATTCATCGTAAGTGTATTCGACCCCAGAACGCTGTGACTGCCCGCAGCCTGCTCAGAGGGCTCGGGTCCGCTAGCCGCGCCCTCCCCCGCTCCACCGCTGACTCGGGTGTGTGTGTGTGTGTGTGTGTGTGTGTGTGTGTGTTTATTGGTGGGGTTTTTACTCGCTTGCTATTCTTGGGCATGGAGGCGCTTTATTTTCCTTTTTCTTCAGGTCTCAGGTTTGCGTGGTGGCAGTGACCGATAAGTGCTTTCTCAGCCACAACCCAGCTGAAAGAGTTAAGGGGGCCGGGAGGAGGAGTGCGCCCGGTAGGCGGGAGAAGGTGGGGGGAGGAGAGGATGAACGGGGGTGGGGGGGGGGGACGCGGCCAAGCGGAAACGCCGCACAGAGGAACCTCAGCGAACCAAGAAAAAAGAGAAAGTGGCAACCAAAACAAGGGCAAATTAAATCCTCCTTGGGGATTTCCAATGAACTAACCCAATTCGGACATTCAATAAATACACGACTCTTAATGAGGGTGCGTGTGTTTGCACCCGCACCCCCAGCTGCAGGGTACCGGCCTGCAGCCTGCGGTCCCCAGCCCGAGCTGCAGCCGAGAACGTAACCCCGCGGCCAGTGTGCTCTGAATATAAAGAACTGGCCTGCCTTCTCCCCCATGCATAATTCCTCTACCGAGCTCACTCTAGGTGAACTCAGTTACAGTAGGAGCTCTCCAGCTCAGCAGCAGCCACGCACCCTCGGCGTGATCTCGAGATTAACTGTAGACGCGAAGCATTTATGTAGGACTGGGTCCAGCTCCTGCTTGCCGGGGTGAAAAGATACCATCGTAGGAACAGATCTAAAAGGCAGCAGTAACCAAAGCCCCAAACAGAACGGATTCTCCCCTCCTTTCCAAAAGGTTCCTTTTTATATTTATGTATGCGTATATGTATATATAAAAGATGGAACACAGATTTCATTGAATAAATCTGAGATCTCCAGGTGCAGACGTTTGAATGGTCGGTGCCAGCACCCCGTGTTTTCCTTTCCTGCCGATTTTGCTTGGATCCGGCTCAAAAACCGAAAGAGTCTCGTGGTTTTGTTTACACTGAATGGGGAGGATAGGAACAGAGCCATGGGGCCGCCTTTCATTAATATACAGTGAGGATTTTGTCTAAATTACTGCTATGAGTCTCACAGTACACGCTTTCAAAAGCCGTCTCAGGTGGCCTGATGAAACGGGATAGCGCCTCTGCAAACAGATCCACTTTCTCTCTTTGCAAGGAGGGTGTGCGCGTTCGGGAAGCCCCCCAAACGCTGTGCTCCTCAATAACAGAAACGCACTTCTGTTCCCAGGTCTGTCCCCTTCCTCCCCCCCCCCTTTCCATATACTTAGTTCTCAAATCGCTCCCCAGCTTCCCCCCCACACACACTCCCGCCCCACCCCATCCGCCCCCTCCCTCTGCGGAGTGTGATTGTTTTGTCTGGAAAAAAAAATCCAAAGTATATAACAAGGGGAGAACAGTTAGTGCTGATTTTCATTTGCATACATTTTCATATATTTTGTTGAAAATAATAGACTAGTGAGGACCGGGCTTAGAGGAGTCAGTGTGAAGGGAAGGCTAAGGATGCGCCGGTTCTGGAGAGTAGAGAATACGCCTTCTCCTCTACCCCTCCAGGCACCTTATTTAAAAAAAACAAAAAATCAAAAAACCAACAACCTTGTATTTAAAAGTCTAACCTTGGGAGTTTGCTGGGTAAGTGGTTTTTTTCCCCCCATTTTCTTTCTTTGCTTTCTCCTTTTCCTCTGCGTCCTTTCTGGTGTATTTATGTTCTTGTAGGTTTGGAAGCTTTATTTTCATTGCTTGGGAGGAGAGGGGAAGGGAAAGTGTGTCGGAGGGAGTGAGCAAAAGGAATCTGACGTTGCTAAAATAATACATAAAAAGGTGGACTGGTTCCAAAGGCCCTCACAGCAGAGCTTTACTCTTCTGGGTGAGAGGGAGAGAGAAAGTGCTATTGATTTTAATTGTTGATTATGGGAGGGGTAAACCCCAGAAAAGAGGTGCCTAGTACGCATGGAGTGTATAAATATTTCTTGTTTGGAATTTCCCCCCAGAGAATCAAGGATGAAGAGGGAGAAAGCCTGAGGTCTGTAGCTAGTGGTCGTGACTGAATTGTGAGTCTGCCTGGATTAGGACCGGGAAGCAGTCGAGTCCAGTGGAGGAGGGGGCCTGGTAACTGGAGGGTAGAGGGCTAGAGAGGAGGGAGTAATGAGGGAGAAGAGGCAGTAAGTCAATGGACCCCTGGTTAACGCTGCAACTGGGGAGCAGGCGCTGAGCTGCAGCTCCTGGCTCAGTAGTAAAAGCCCATCAGAAAGAGGGTGATCAATCAAAAGTAACCAGGACATCCTGCTCTCCACTCCCCAAGGACTCTGGAGCTTCAGCATCCAAAGCACCAGATTTCCCATGTTTTCTATTTGTGACAGTCAGACCTAACCCTCCTTATCACTATCCTTGGTTTTTGGAAAATTCAAGGGTGTACTTACTTAAATAAATATGGCAGAAAGAAACAGCTATGCCCAGTCCAGGCCAGTGTGATTGTCTTAC